GCCGGAAGGTAGGGCGGAAGGCCCTCTTCAGCCTGCTTTCAGGAATCGTGGGAATGGGTGGGTGGTGGTTCGGGTGAGAAAGATGAGACGGACGAAATGAAGACAGAAGAGAATGAAACATTATCTGTGGAATATTACTGCCTCAGCATTTGCCTAAGTGGTCCAAGGAAAACTTGGATCAAGGCAGACGGACTCGGAATCAAACCGGCATCCCCTCGAATGCCAAGCAATAGTCTAAACATGGTAGGATACCGGACGATAATGACGCTAGAGTACAGTAAATGCAATAACAATATCCCAATATCCAGTGCTTCTCGAGGATGTACCATAAACCTTATTAAGATGTTTGAAATAAAAGTGACAAAACTTCGACCTTTTACTGACTTATATTTATATTTTTTAATAGCATTGACCATCAATGTTTTTTAAATGTACAATATGATGCAATATAGCATGTCTTTCGCGCATGTGAAGGCTCATGCCATTCTACACTACCTATACCAATCGAAAATCTACTTTGTTAAAAACAGTAAACAATTCGGACAACCGAATAAAATTCATCTATACACAACGATGGTTCTTATTATTATTATTACATACGTCCATATTATTTTTTTATGTACCTATGCTGGAAATAAAGAAAAGTTTACATTGTGTAAGTTTTTCCTTTTATCAACCTCGACCCCTTATCGCCTATTTTCTGACAGTTTATTTTACGTAAGATGACAGATTTTACATCAACTCACTGAGCCTACATACACTGACTTACAAAAGAAGATTTGAGGTAGAAAGATTAGTGTTCGAACTTTTTTCATAACCGAAAAAAATTACCCACCTACTGTGCTCTGACAGAAGATAAAGCTGATGATACTAGCTGTATGGATTTGCTATGGAAGCAAAATTCTAAACAGTAACAAATAAATTGATAAAATATAACCGATTTAAATGTTACTAATTGGTTGACGTTATTAATTCAATTATGCGAATGTTTTGAATTGATGTTGCAGTAATGAAGATAGATTATTAACACTAAAAGCATACCTTTCTTTGAAGTACGAAAGCTGTCATCTTTTGGAACGTACTGTATGTCGTAAACAAGTGTTGTGTTTGGCAACAGATTAGGATCCTTATTAATCCTATAGACGGCGTATTTAAAGGCTAACTCCAAACTCGTGTCTTTCTGATCCTCGGTGAATAAAGCACCTGGAACAATGAAAAAATATTTATATTCGAATTATATGACACTCAGAATAATGTGAAACATTTACGGAATTCTCACATAAAATGACAGTAAATTGCATATAACTTTGTTAAAGAATTTTGTCGCAAAAAGTTTTTTGGTTGACTTCACGATTTTNAAGAATGCAGTTCGTTAGTTAATATCCGCCCCTTAGTGTTTTTTTTTTTATTTTTGTTAAGCTGTACCTTTCCAAAATTTTACAATTGAAAAAGCATTTTAAAGCTGGTATTGCCTTTTGAATATCGATTATTTCATTATTACTAATAGTTTGAATCCGAACATGTATTGGTAAGACGCTGGTACCTGGAAAACATCTTGTAAATAGGAACTTTATACGTTTGCAAGACACATTCATTTACATTTAAGATGGTAACGTAAAGCCGCAAAGTTTGTGCACCTCCTAAAAGTGGATTACGGTTATGTAATTCAATTTGCATAGCTACCGTACTGCAGTTTATATTTCCCTTGAATTTATGCTCCATACAAACGATTGCCATTTATAAAAGTATTTACCGAGATAAGGCCCTAAAACGGAATATGTTTGAGAAACTAATTAACCCTAATCGTTGGTTCGGTAATATTAAAGTTTAAACAATAATAAACACGATAAATACACAAAAGGGGTTTGAAANTGATGATTGATGATAATAAGTGATAGAAATACCGTGCTTCTGTGTGTGTTAGGTCATTAGAAAAGTTTTCACATTGGAAAAAAATGGATGACGACGGAACAAAAAAGGAAAAGATCGTGAGATGATTGAAGGAAATTGCAGCTTTCAAAATTTTTATCTGCTGACTAGAACCATTATAAGGAGGTCTTATATTTGATGGCTTACCAATACGTTTAAGTACCTACACTTAAACTGCAACACACACATTCAAGTCGGTTTCATCTTAAGTTCGCTATCGCAAACTTCTTGAACTCTTTCTTTTACTATCGGTTTAAATCTAAAATTTTTATTCGTCAACCTAAAGTTATTTATAGATCATTTGTCCCGCAAGTCGGGAAACCGAGCTATATCATGGTATCTATTAAACAACAATTCCAGCATTACTTATCTATATATTATTCCTTAAAGTTCGCTTTTTTCACAATAAAAATAGCGTTCAAAAATTGATTTTCTTAAACCGTCATACCGTCAAACATATGTGCGTATACAGGGTAGGTCTTAATAAGGTATACCCAACTAGAAACTATGAAGAATTGAAATGTTTATGTTATCTAGGGGTAACAAGGTGTATTTGGAATGGTGTTGCGGATTATCTTCATGTACCCTAAATTCCCACAGAGTAAGGAGTCAGATCCGGACTCATGAGATTATAGTTTCCCAGGAAGCAGCCCTTTAAGGAGGTTTACGACTCTTTGATTTCATCCTGCTAAAATCAGGTCCTGCAATTATGTCCTTGAACTTCTTGAAGAGGTAGGAATTAAATTCCACAGCATCTTACAATAATTCTCAGCTCTGAACGTTACTGCAATTTCTCCTTTGTTTCTAAGGATGTATGAGCTAATAACTATACACATCGAACTTAAAGCCATGGAAAGAAAGTTGTTTCCTTTGGAGATTTTTCTTAGACCAAAATCGACAATTATGTTTGTTAATATGATCGTTTAAATGGAGATTGGATCCATCATTAACCAATATGTTAAAAATAGTCAATACGTTTCAGTACAATGTCTTGTAAACTGTACTCACTTCGCCTCGTAACAGCCACTGAATTATTGTGTACGAACACAAAACAGGCGCCTCACACCTGTAAACGGCTCCATGATAGCCACTAAATATTTCACGAAATGCCGCGTCCAATGGAACCAGGAGCGCCCTCACGTCAGTAGAATATACACAAAAAAACAGGATCATTAAATTCATACACACCCTGTATATTATTGTAAATACTACCAGACAATAACTTACGAGGGTGGATTGATAAGTTTCCGGCCTAACCAAGAGATGACGCCACTAGGCCTACCTTGAGGTGACATTCTATAGTACCATCCTTGGATAGCTTGTAGCTATAGTTTCAGCCCGATCTCCTTGCTAGTGTAGGTTTGACAGCACGCTGAACAAGACGCCTCTGTGGTTTTCGTAAAAATGGAAAAGCAGGAAAATCGTGCTGTCATCAAATACTTTTATTTGAAGGGGTTAACGCCGAAGGAAATTAAAAAAGAGATGGACTCAACACTGGGGACATCCTCCCCGTCATATTCAACCGTTAAGCAGTGGGTTTCCGAGTTTAAAAAGGGTCGTGTGAGCACCTCTGATGGGCCTCGCTCAGGACGCCCCGTTGAGGTCACAACTCCAGATATGATCGAAAAAATTCATCAAATAGTGCTGGGAGACCGCAGATTGAAAGTGCGTGAGATAGCTGAGACCTGTAAGATGTCATATGAACGTGTGCAACATATTTTGCACCAACATTTGCATATGGAAAAGCTCTGTGCAAGATGGGTGCCGCGTTTGCTAACAGTCGACCAAAAATTGATTCGAAAAAACATTTCTACCGCAAATTTGTCATTGTATAAGCGTAATCCAAGCGAATTTTTGCGTCGATTCGTAACCGTTGACGAAACGTGGGTCCACCACTACACTCCTGAAACCAAAGAACAGTCTAAACAGTGGATTGGACCAGGGGAACCAACTCCAAAGAAGGCAAAAACAATTTTTTCGGCGAACAAGGTTATGGCTACTGTTTTTTGGGATGCAAGAGGTATTATATACATTGATTACCTTGCAAAGGGTAATACTATCACTGGTCAATACTACGCAGACTTATTGCAACGTTTGAGCCACGAGGTGAAAATTAAACGACCTCATCTGGCGAAGAAAAAAATCTTGTTTCATCACGATAACGCACCAGCGCACACGTCAATCGTTGCGACGGCTAAAATCAACGATCTAAAGTTTGAATTGATGCCGCACCCTCCTTACTCTCCAGACCTAGCCCCGAGTGACTATTTTCTGTTCCCTAATCTCAAAAAATGGCTTGGCGGTAAGAGATTTGCGGACAATGAAGAAGTAATCGAAGCTGTAAATGGTTATTTTGAGGAGCTTGACGAATCAGTCTATAGAGATGGCATTAATAGACTGGAACACCGCTATGAGAAATGTATCAGCCTTGGAGGAGATTATGTTGAGAAATAAAAAAAAAAAATTTTTAAAAACCTTGTTTTTCTTGGTCAGGCCGGAAACTTATCAATCCACCCTCGTATTTCACGAAATGCCGCGTCCAATGGAACCAGGAGCGCCTTCACGTCAGTACAATATACACAGAAAACAGGATCATTAAATGCATACACACCCTGTATATTTCACGAAATGGCGCGTCCAATGGAACCAGGAGCGCCCTCACGTCAGTAGAATATACACAAAAACAGGATCATTAAATGCATACACACCCTGTATATTATTGTAAATACTACCAGACAATAACTTATTTCTATTTAGTAGCCTCCTACACGCTCAAGAATATACGAATTCTTGGAAAGGTTGTGGAGAAGCACACATACTTAACCGAACCGCACGGTTACCTCGAAAGCAAATATTATCTAAGTTTCTTAGAAAATTCTTCGATTTTGCGGATAGACAGCAACGAATCGATGTTTGGCTTCCTTCGCATGAAAACGCACTTTCACATTCTTTCCATTCCACAACGACAAAGGAATTTTAATCGATAGCACTTTTATTTTCGTTACGTATCATCCTGTACTTAATGAGATTTTTAGTGCTCGAACTGAACAAAAGGATCCAGCAGTGTGCTGCTCTCCTAGGAAAACTTTAATTTACTTATACAACGAACTTTGACGCTAATATATATACGACACTTTTAGGAAATCAATAATAATCGAGATATAGTCGAATCCAAGACCACGAAGAAATAAATAATGCAGGGTGGTGAGGCGGCTTGCCGTCTTTACTCACCCTGTGTTGATTTCCTACTATTTTCTCCAATTATATAATATGGTAGGCTAATATTATTATATTAGTCAATTATTTATCAATTATAGTTAACTTACTGTTCGAGTAAATTAACCTCTTTTATCCGTTAGCTAACATGAAATTGTTAGATGAATTGTTGACTAAGTTATTCTAAATTACATAAATTCGCATTTAATATTGGATTAATATAATTATACTAAAATTCGTCAATATATAACAGTAGTACCATTTTTACATTGAAGTTTCATACGATTGCTCTACAGTATATTAATTTTTACTATTTTGCATGTAGAATAACCCACTATGAATTTTATTAATATTATGGGAGTACGACAAATTATACTAAAACTTTGAGTGAACAATAAGGTAGTACGGTGCATATAATTATTCTGTGTTTAAACTTATATGCTTGCAGGTTGTCTTGAGCTAAGGCTACACGTATTAACTTTGTGCATAAGCAAATATTAGGTTGCTTTAAGATATTTGCGCTTTGTGTTCATACGTTTAACTTAACACGGCACGGCAAGATAGATTTATTTGCTTTTAGATATAATTAAAAGCGTTAATTATAGTAAAAGTCATTAATTAATTTCGTGAGATTAAAAAAACAAGAGGGAGAGGAAAGGATACAGCAAAATCTCATCAAATCTTATTTAAAGGGAACGGGTAAATAAATAGATGGGCAGGACTCCTTCTTTTGAACAACAACTTAATATGATTATGTACAATACTTCTTATGCTTATATGTTATATTACAATTATAATTAACNTTGTTTTGGACTTACCTACGCTGGACAGCATTGCGTTTGAGCAGTAATCCCTTATTAATTATTTGTAGAAGTTTTTATGTTTACGATATTTGAATTATCAAGGGACTAAGAACCGAACGATGAGAATTCAACAAATATCGTTTGTTTTTATCGGCGGTTCTACCGCGGAGCTGTGCGTGTTAACTCGAAATGAAAGATCATATAATGAAAAACATTTCCAGCGTCGATTTTGCGGAAATTATTGCCTCGCATTTT